CGTAAAATAAATCTAGGGATAAATTGTACAGGGACGGCGAGTTCTGGGCAAAACGTTGGCCTGAGACTGGGTTAGAACCCGTACTTGTGCTCTCCAGAAACCGTGCTTGTGATCCCGTACACTACCAAAAACACGCTTGTCCTCGCCTTCTTAAAAGAGCACTCTCAATGAAATTTTGAGGGACAGGCTTATGATCCGGTGTCGTCTGTGTGCTAGTGGCTTGTCAACAATTGCCGACTTCATAGCTTATTGATAGTAGCTTTTGGAAAGTAATCGGAAAGCCCCAGTAGCCGCAAAAGGTTCAATGGTAAACAGCTTTGTCACCATATGCAGAGCTCATGGAAATCGTTTGCATCAAAGACGCGCAATTGGTAATAGAACGATGAAGTATTCATTCTCTTCCCAAATAGGCAAACCCTCACAGGCCATTGTATAGACCACGTAACCAATCAAATGCGTCTGCGATTTCTGTGGGAAGTCGAACTGGTGACGCATGCCAGTATGGTTCAGCAGTGTCTAGTCGTCCTAAAAGTGTAGCTACTCCTGCTTATTTTGGAGGACCATTTCGTCCCCTACAGCCAGTTTTATTGGCTATTAAACACTATAATTGCCCTATTATAGAAAAATTGTTGTAATTATTTGTTATATCCATGGGACTTTACTGATTTTCAAATTATGGTTGCCGCAATGATTAACGACCTTCTACTATTACCATCGTTACGGCAATCGTCGAAACGAGAGGACCAATTGATGGGAGGGAATGCATCGGAGGGGGCGAACAAGGTCGTTCGAAGTGAGAACATGAGAAAAAGCTCAATTATCTCAAAATTGTGATTCACAATCGAAGATCAATCGATAATCGGGAAGTCTAAATTGAAGCCCTCGGCATCGATGCGAGAAGTCCAGAATTGGAAAAGTTTCCTCTAGAACGATCAATTCCAGGTCCTCAGCTGATTTAGGATTCAGCCGGTAACGGTGTGAATTGCCAGTATCGATTATCTCTCTCTACTGTCTTGTTTCTGACAAATAGTGCACCAATAATGTTTACCCAGAGGTATCCCCCTTTATCTATGCGGCTGACCGAAGCTATTTGTTTGTTTACACTACGGCTTCTTCAATTCGTTTGGACCCTACTACCCCCCGTACGGAACGCCTTCTGACATGAGAAAAGATGGGATGGGAAACAGCCACACTGGGCTTGAGGATCGCTTTGGTAAACCGGCTGTAAGTGCTACTTACCACCTGCAATTTGCTTGACAGTAATTACTACCCAGCAGAAACATGACCCTAAATTCGTGGGGCACGCACCTTGTTTCCTTCTAACTAACCCCCAAAAATAATGATCCAGATTCATGAGATCGGCTCTACCGGCTTTATTACCTTGTACCTACTACCTTACAATCTTACCTACCCTTAAGAAAGGTTCTCCTATTTTATTACCCTGTATCTCCTGCCTTATAACCCTCCAAAAGGATAACTTGTGCAAGTGATACGTTCATTGTTGAATGAGGAACTGATGGAATATGTTCGTGTAAATGATTATAATTGTTGGTAGAACATGGTACTTCCCTCTTCTCATTAAATAGAAGACGAAAGCAGGGGCAGTTTGACCCATACCCATGATTTTCAGTGAAAGGACGCCTTCTTTGTTATCATGAGAGTATAAAAGTGCCTTGTGAATTCCCGTTTCACATTTTTACTATAAGGATATCTTCTGTGCCTAATTGTTACTTGTAGCGTGGGTCTTCAAAGAAGTTATTTACAAGATTACCGACTTTCACGACTCCCCAGGACAAGTAGTAGTCATACGGGTATTTTTCAAGCTTCATTTTCGAGCGCTGCATAGCTGTCCAGGCATAATTTTCAAGCGCTAGCTATTCGAGCCTATATGAATAGCCTGCAAGAAGGCTGGGAACAATTATACCCGCAGCGAGTCTTGTCCAAGATTTTTGAGAAATTAGACTCCAAGGGAAGCAAACTAACTGTAAAAGCTCCGGATGGTGAAGGGAATCTCCCAGGTGCCGATTCTCCTCTTTGAAAAGTTCCATTTCTTAGACCCGCTATAAGTTTACGTAGTTTAGCAATGGGTGAAACGTTCAAATGCGTCCAAAGCCATCGGATTCGTGATTGCTGAGTAAAATTCAGATAAAGAGACTGGACAAGGGTGTGACGACCCCAAATCTGCAAATAGTGTTATCAGTTTTTTCGAGATCCAATTAAATTCCGATTAAACTGGGACAAACTTCGTTAGCGTTCTTGAGATCAATATGCACAGCCAGTGATCCAAAATGTCGGTCGCAGGAATTGGAATTTTTCTAAATTTTACCCTGACGCACCCTGAATACATGGCTTTTAGGAGCAGTATAATTGGTTGCAACATTATCCTTACAGTCACGGTAAACGTGGAAAAATACGTCGAGCGTCAGCTGATGGATGGGAGAATCTTTTCGGAGGTCTTAGTATTATACAAGTAATGACTCCGTAACAGTGCGGAGGAAGAGACGAGCACTACTCGAGGGATATCGGTAAAAATAAAAAGTCATCCAGAAGAATCAACAATGTCCAACAATGTAGAGGGCATCGTTTTAAGTGATACTGAGGTCTTACCCCCCGATATGCTTTCTTGGAGCGGTATATCATTTTAACTACTGGAGAAGGTAATTCTATTCAGTACACTGACACCTCCCTCAGCTTCACACCAACTTAACTTTGTTCAACATTACCTTCTCTAGTAGTTAATGGTTAGGACCTGTTCAGGTGATCTAAAAAATAAGACAAAAGTGGCCACCCTTTTTTTGCAAATACCTTCGATAGGTCAAATGAGAAAATAGCTGGACCGCTATCAGAGCGTTGTTTTCTTGGAATGCGCCTTGCTTATGGCTCCTACTGTGATTCTTGTGATCCTTTGTGCAGGCACATACAATACTTCAAAAGGATTAGTTGTTGGAGAATCGGTGTTTCTATTTTGTCCACCCTTAACTCCTGACGAATCTCTAGTCAAAAAACAAGGCTTAAGAAATAAATAAGGAAAGAATGTCTTGGAGTTTGACCTTTGAAACTTGTACGCAGTTAAAGCGCCTCATACCTCTGCTCCATATAGCGCTATGCTGGCAAAACTTCCATACTGCCCTGATAGAGCGGTTTTTGAATCGGCTGCGCTTTCGATTGTACTTTAACCAGTCCCATTCGAAAGGGAATGATCGATGATCAACAATTTATCATTTTCAATTTCGAATCGTCCTTTTTTTGTCTAAAGATTAATATTGCGGTCTGCTACCTATGATGTATGTATGTGTACGAGCGGCGATGCAATTGGGTTGATCGGTCGTTGGGGTGACCATGAAAAAGTGAGAGAGTAAGAACGTCGCTGAGCCATCACTGTCTGCCTCGCTCTCTTACGACCCGTCAAATACGCAGTATTTCCCTAATCCACCCCAATTATGCCCGACGATCACCTTATGACGACCATCGCGTCGAACGTTTTCATACAGAAAACAATGGGGTTTGTTCAAGAAGAGTACTGTCCTTAAGCGGCTAGTCGATAATTACTCTTCGCGTTTCTATTTTACGTGAAAGCAAACAGGCAGAATCGAGGTCAGTTCTCAACTAGGGACAGCCTCATGCCACTTTTCCAGGAAGAATAGGAAGGGAGGAGGGCGAACTGGGAACGGGGCATGGGAGAGCAGGTGAGGCACAGTTAGGTGCATAACAATCTGTACAGTTCCAAACTTTACCAGCAACTTCATTGTATTCGGCCCTCTCCTTTTATAATGCAAGCTATACTGTTATTCCTGGCGAAGATCATTGACGCACTGTTTATCCTAGGCTGCTGTTTACCAAAACAAGTGGCCGTCGAACCGAAAGAAAAAGTTTCAAAAATGATCTCAACCAGTTCAGCCTTTGGGGAGATTTCACAAAGAAAGTCACTTCTGGGTTTAAACTCGTACACTTGAAGTTTGTCAAGCAAATTCATTCTTTGGTCAAGGGTGGTGGTCCTTTTGAGTCACACCCGAACTTTTTATGCTGTCCTGTCTTTCACATAGAAACTTTTTAAGACGAAATTCATGCAGACAAATTCGCCGCACAGAAAACTGGTCTCATAGAAGAGGTAGGGAGTTGGAAAAGCAAGGGAGAGGAGGTATGGGAAGCGAAATATCTCTACTGCCTATATGCTTTAGAAGTTACTTCTTGTGCTCAATCGAAATTGCTATCTTTCCCATTAAGGCTCTTGGATAACAAGTATGTCCAACAAAAAAGAGTAAAATTAGGGTGATTATCTTAGTATACTCCGGAATTGGTGTAGGCGCACTCATACACGCACGATCCCTGATTAGGAGCCAGGATCGATGCCTACCACGCCTTCCTTCTCTCCGGGTCGTTTAGATGTTCCGAGATTAGTCTGGGAGGATATGCACTTTCGAACCATCGTTTCGGTTCTAAATGGAAGTTGAATACAGGGCGCATCCCAAATGAGGTTTGACTGACGCCAGAAACTTTACCCTTCGTCCTTTTATCCAGGTAGGAGATCTCAGATCAGGAAGCTATCGCGTGAAATCCGCCTCATATAGCGTGCGGCACATTTTCATGACAAGTGTGTCACGCATTGTGAGTGAAAAAATTCATGTGGGCAGCTTCCTGATTTCAAGTGCATTCCCTCAACATTCCCTAGTATCCCTAGCTTCTTCGTTATTCACCCGAAAAAAAGCATAGCGTGCTCACATGGAATTCGGAACTGTACTGGTGTGTTGACCAAGATCGATGTTTGTCTGTGTTGTACGCGGCTCTTGGGCTATTAGATGGACAATGAAGGGGGATTCACAACGGGTTGGTCCGAAATTTCCGTTTTTATCGCTTTGTAAACATTCATTGTTGAGTATAGGAGAGCTTCCTTGTTAGACGGCAAGCCGATGACTACAGGGGGTCCTTTCCTGGAACGTTTGCTTTGAGGCGGAATGTAGAGAGTGTACATAGTGTAGTTTTCTGTTGCCGTTGCAATTTATATGGCCCTGAAATGGAACCCTTCCCAAACCAACTTTCTGCCTTCCATATACTTTTGGGCGGTCAACTGCATTCAGATTCTTCTGCTAAAATCCTGGTATAGACCTACATAGCTACTGACTAGTACAATCTCATGCGAAGGCCAGAAAGGCACTCAATACTGCCATAACTTCGTAGGAAATAGGGTACATGGCCCATTCTAATACGAAAATGACCGGCGTAACAATTTCATTACGATGTGGCAATTGCGATAAGCGGAGCACTGCTCGAATTTCAGCAAAACACTGGATATTTCTAGATCTTACCGAGTAACTAAAACCAAATAAAGGACTGGCTCGAAGCTTTCTTTTCCTTAGCCCGAAGCTCATTATTTCAGATCCTCTGCTGCATAACTGGTCTGTTTGGTGTCTGCCAAAAACGGGTCTTCCTTCTGATCGCTCTTACCATTTCCACTGTGATTTCGATATGCCAGAACGTCCTTATATTTTTGTGGTAAGTCAATTTGTATTCATTCAGTCTATCCGGCTTCATTAGCCATTTCGATGCCATTTAAAAACATTAATGATTGGATTCTTTTTTTTCTGCACTGTGATTGTTTGGATAATTTATGATAAATATGATAGTTATGATAGTTAATGATAACGAGCAATAATAACAACTAGTACATTCTGCAATAGTTGATACGAAGGTGTATTTCCAGGTATATCGGAGTATTCGGTGATATATCCAGACCGGTGTTATCAGCTGGATTACCGTATTCCTATTCTTTCTTTTTGAAACACACTCCATCTTGTGGAGCGCGGTTCGACCTGCAGAGGTGCATGTTTTCACTATACTTTTTCCCTGTTCAGCTATTGGGATGTTTCTCTGCCCATTTGGATACGCCATGCACAAAGCTATAAATGTTTTTTTGTTAACAGCCATATTTTCAGATCGAAATGGGTACAGTTGCCATGTATTGTACCCTATAATCAAATCGAAGCCGGTCAAGCTCTCTTGCATATAATTCTTGCCGGTATCACGCTAATTCTCAGTATTGTGGTTGTATTGGAAAGAAAACGTGATAAAGATCGATTAAAACCTCCTCAATCTGTCCAATACGCACAGATTAAGCGGAATCAACTGCCGCCTCCATTGACGATTAGTGAACTCGGGTACGAAACCGTCTCAGACGATAGCCACGCCCGTTAACCTAGTCCTTTCCAGGAGCGGCTACGTGAACTCGTCCAGCGACGACATGACGGCGACAACGGTAACTCTACCTGAGCAACGGGTCGTTCCTCCATTTTCCTACGAGCGACATAATCGTAACAAGCGGGCCAGAATACGACCAAACTCAATGGTGTGCATTGCATTGTTAAGAATTTTTCAGTTCCGTTTATAATGAACGAGATAATAGCTATAATAATTGATGATAATGAGTAGTAACGACAACTAGTACATTCGGCAATAGTTGATACGAAGCTACATCGTTTTGGAGGCATCCAACAGTGGCAACAGGCCAACAGTGAAAAACCTTAGTAGGGAATCGTATCTGAAGAGTTCGGAACATCGGGTTATATCTCGAAATCCCGGGTTATAACTAGCTGAAAAGACCATCAACCGATGGGCCATCGAAGTATATAAGTAAGCAATTAGGTAAGCAAGTAACCTTTAGAGCTCAAAACTGGAGGAAATTCTAACTGTTACTGTAAGTATGATATCGCTCTTTCGGGTTTTCCTGCAAGTTTTCGAGTTTGATGGCGCCAATCCACTGTTCCATCGATTGATCAGGGAGATCAAAGCACTCGCGCGCCCGTTTTGAGGATCTGTAGACCAAGAGTAAACCTTCATGGCAATTTGGTGCTATTTCATAAGTGTACGAGTAGATCTCTTGATGCCAATCTTACCATGGGGTTCCTTTACCCTTCGAGACAAGCTGGGATAGTGCCGTTGAGTTGGTGTTGGGTTAGTGAAATGTACCATCAAAATAAAATCCAGTTTTTTGATCAGCGGAACCTGCTTACCGGATTACTTTTTGCAAATCCCTCTGAGTGGAATAATCGTATGCTCCACTTTTAATTCCGAGCTCTAGTATCCCTTCTAGAATAACAACCGTAAGCTTCCTGTTATCAATCGATCTGAATTTATTTTTAGCCACAACCATATATCGATCAGTACTCTTGCATGACA